TTTTTTTTTTTTTTTTTTTTTTAATTTTTAATTGTTTTTTGCCCGGTCGGGCAAGTGACCCCGGACCACTCTGGTAGCCTAGAAAATAAATAAATAAAAAAATTATGCAAGGAAGACGAGCATTAGCGAATTCCAACAATCAAATAGCATCATACATATGAGTCCAAATAGTCTTGACCTCGAACCAACAACAGAAATGCATCACGAGATTCACCAAATAAGAACACACCAATAGTTCGTAATTGACAATGCTAAAATAGTCTCTCATCATCATCAACGACGAACAAGAGTTGATATCCTATTGGCGCTCGGCGCCCAGACTACATGTGGCGGATCCTATCTAGCCTAATACTACAATGTCGATATTGACAACAACAGCTTCCTGAAGTACGAGCATACAACAGACAATGCCGCACGCTTCCAGCACCAGGTATGTCTCTCGCAACACTCACAACCGATCCACACCACACAGATGTCACTAGCACCCAAGGACCACCCTGCGCCACACCCAACTCACAGCGGAGCAGCTCGGCTATGGCTGCCCGCTCCTTCCTGCTCGCCCGTGAAAGCGTGAGTGCCAGCCAACCAGCAAATAGCGCAGCAGGGTTTGCGCAGCATGCAGCCAACACCCGAATGCCGAATGAGGAGGCAGACCCTTCCCTACATCGAAGTGGCCTGCCTGCGTCCAGTCCAGGAAGCTTCCAGTAGGCCCCGGTAGGCACAGGCCCAGACCTCACACGCAGGCCCAGGGCCTGATGGTTATATGTGCCCAACTGCCCTTGGTCTGCTCACGACCTTTCCACGTGTCTGGCCCAGGTCACCATTCATATACATTTGCAAAATACGGCCTGGGCCTGGACACCTTCAACCAACTGGCGCAGCGCAACTGTCTGAATTTCACCAGTTGTGGGGTACCCTGAAAATCGAGGCCCTGAGGGCCTGTCGTGCCTGCCTTCACTTAGGGCGGCCGACGTGTTGCAAAAAGGGGCCTGAAGGGGCTGAGCGGGCGTAGCCTCGCATTCCCTCCTCCATATCTTCGTTAGTCCTCTAAGAAGATCAATCCTGAGCCATCTGACGCTTTCCTTTCAATACATCGTTCTCATAACGGGCAACGATTTGAGGAGCGGTCTGCATCAATTCCTCCCGAGTAAACCAGCGGTCCTCCTTCGGATCCGTGTGATGTCTGAAGTGGACACGAAACTGCAGCTTCGGCTTTGGAGGACGTCCCCTTCCTGGAGGCTTCTGAACGGGCATCTCCCTGTGGTCGACGATATCATCGATGTCGACTTCTCCGTCCATGGTTGGGGGCAGCATTGACCGGCGAGAGGGAAATTGATCAGTTTCCTTGAACGCAGCGAGCTAAGAGGCGTGAAAGACTGGGTAAGTTATGAGATGACCAGGGATACGGATGACATAAGATGGACCATCATGATCTGTCCCTACTACGTCTAAAACTTCCCAAGGTCCAAAGTACTGAGGCATGAGTTTGCGGGATATCCCGAACTCCTGTCCCAGTTCTGAAGACTTGACCCAGACTCTGTTCCCAACCTGAAATGTACAAGGGCGACGGTGTTTATTCTCAGAATCTATCATTGCTGCCTGCCCCTTCTGCATGTGCTCTACAACCTCCTGCATTTTCTGTTCATAACGATAAGCGAACTCCAAAGTGTCCGGTGCAACAGTTGGCTGGTTATCAGGAAGTAGGAAGTCTAAAGGCAGTCTAGGCCTAAAGGTAAGATGTAGACTGTTAGGACTTACCCCGGTAGCGCTGTGTACAACGTTATTGTACAGAATGGCGACAAGAGCAAGCTTCTCGTCCCAGTCCACCTGATTGGGCTTAATGTAATGCCTCAACAGGTGTTCAACAGCGCGGTTCATCTGTTCAGCCTGGCCGTTTGCTTCTGGATGGTTTCCAGAAGTCATTTGCAGTTGAGTTCCCTGTTCAGCTGCAGCGGCCTTCCATAACTCACTTGTAAATCTGACATCCCTCTCACTTACAATAGACTTAGGCAATCCAAAATCCCTCACCCACTTCTCTTTGAACAACCTGGTTACATACTCGGTCTTCGCTATTTCCGGCATGGCTATTAACCTACCATACTTACTAAACCTATCCACGATGACGAAGATCTACGTCATCCCACTCTTGCTGGTGACCAGTGTATCCATGAAGTTCATGGACAAGCTTTCACCCGGCCTTTCCGGAATCGGAAGGGGCTTGAGCAGCCCAAGAGGAACCTGAGTACGGGGCTTGTCTCGTTGGCAAACTTGACAAGTTTCCACGTACAGCTTAGCATCTTTTAACATCGTGGGCCACTAGAACCTTTGCAACAAATTGGCTGCGGTCTTCTTGTACCCAAAATGGCCGGTAGCGTCATGACACTCGCCTAAAAACAAACTACGCAAAGACTCTTTATCAGGGACACACAAACGTTTATTCCCTTCCTTCTCGAGAAACAGCAAGCC